CCGATAAATTGCATCCTTGTTCTTTTGCTTTCTCGGGCAGGGCAACCGTCCGCAGACAACTCATAAGCTCTCGGTATACTGTATAACCCAAAAACCTCTGAACATTTTTTTTTTTTTTTCCAGTAGTGAATTGTGTTTAGGAAGCTTGTGTCCATAATAATGAGACAAAAATGCACATTTTTACTTGGCTTGTTTTTTAGGCTAGCTGTCCATAGTCCCGACTACAGTTTCCTTCGAGGCAGAATAGACCCTTTTTAATAGTGTGTGCCATCTAGTAGCTGCTATGCCAATTACCTGCATCTGCCATTGTTTGATCACATACTCTGAGCCTCTATTAGACTCGAGGGCTGCACCAGCGCTCAATGCAAACTCGGGTCAGACTGCACCGAAAATGAGCGCTGCGTTCGGTGAAGACTTCGGTCCAATCACGTGCGTGATGCCCAACGTTACTAGAACACTCGGTTAAGAAACTCACTGTTCAAACCGGGCCGCTGGCGTCCGCCAAGAGCGAGCTAAGTATGACAACAGCGCCACTCTTAATCTTTTGTCTTTACTGTGGTCACCTTGAGCTTTTGGAAAGCATGTTTTTGCATAAAAAAAAAAACAAAAAAAAAAAACTCTTTTTGTAGTAACTTTTATTGGAGTTTAGTACAAAATGATGGGCACATGATGTTTTCTAAAATCTTTGGTCTTGTGGCACAATGTTTTTATACAACCATGTCTCAGCAGTGATTTCAGGTAGTGTGTCCTGACCTGGGCGCATCCTAACTTTGGTTGTAATTTGCGGAACGTCCTCTTGGGAGGCGGGGGTGGCACCCCTGAAACCCCTTGATTGTATATGTTTTGGCGCCCAAATGGCCGATTAAAGCCAAAATAAAAGTCACATGCAGTTCCTCGAGTGGCTGCTGCAAGAGAAATGGCGGCATTGTCATTGCCATTAGCTCGGTTCTCTAGTACAGATCGGTGCCACTTTCTTAGAACAGGCTCTATGGCGGTTTCTTAACTGAGTGGTTCTAGTAACGTTAGTGATGCCCAAATGGCGACCGCCAATGTTGCTTGACATGGTTTCGGAAAGAGTATAGTGTGGGGACAGATGGGTCTCCAAAAATTCTTTCTATATAGCTGAGCGCGCATGTTAAAGGGGTCCATATTAATGAAACATTGCCGCATTGTTATGAACAAAGGTTTTCATCGGGGGGGCTTTTTGCTTTTTAAATATTCCAAGTTCTTGGTTGTCTTGGCATGTGACCGAGGAAAGGAGAGGGGAAGGGAGGGGTGTAAGCAGGTAGGTAGGTAGGTGGGCTGAGCGTCTGGTTCTTGCCCCACAATTTCCTCACATAAAAAGCTGGGTTTTGAGTTGCATACAATTTCCTCACATAAAAAGTTGGGTTTTGAGTTGCGTACACCTTTTAATTTCCAGGATATTGCGGGTAATATTTTCATAAAGACTACCCAACCACAACTGTGTTTTCTTTAAACCAAAAAAAGCGGAAAAAATTAGACGAAGAACAAGTGAGCGGAATGTACGCGACAAGCACTTCTTGTGTACATTCCTCTCACTTGCCCTTTGTTTAATTTTTTCTGCTTTTTTTTTTTTTTTTTGTTGTAATGCATCACCAACTCGCCCAAGTTACCACTCTTATACTTTGAAGTTGAGCTCCGGTGGTTCCTTTCAGCTGTCCAAATTAAACCCATTTTCAGAATACCGAGGCTTTATTCTTTCTGGCTTGCTATTTATTACTTTGAAATTAAGAATTACCATTGAGAAAGCGTCAAATTAAGGTGATGCCAAAACCAACATTCAGATTTTCGCACGCTCTCGGGTGGGGCGGCATCCCACATCGTACAACTTGCAAGTCAAGCAGGCAACATTTTTTATAGTAATGCGTCAGGAACAAGCTGTAATGCTTCCCCCCCCCCCCCCCCCCCGCCTTTCCATTGCTCTATAATACAACATCTGACTTTACGTCTTTAGTGTTGCCAGTAAAGCCTCTCGGCCTCTGAGACCAATTTTGAAACTTCACTAACTTTGCGGAAACAAATGATTTTGACATGTAACTTTGGTTGCTAGTTGAGATGTGTCTAATAGATTGCCAAACCATTTTTGAGGCAAATCAGCGACTACCAAGATTGAGCCGGAGCTCCTGTTTAAAACTGGAACGCCCACTTCCCCCTTGCCTCGCAGGCGGCTGACCTGTATCCCGTGGAGGAGAACTGGACGTGCCCGGAGCCCCGGCCGGGGGATGACGCTTGTGGCCGTGGCCTCCAGTGTGGTACCCTCGGGGCAGGGGGCCCTCCCCCTCACAACTACACGGACCCTTTTCCTCCGGGGGTGCTGCTGCACAATGCCACCCCTGGGGCCACCACCCGCCGACCACATGGCGCCCTTCATGCATGGATCCTTCGGTGAGGGGGCGCTCCTTGCGTGTGGCGCGAGCCAACCGAATCGGCATTCTTTGGAGACGTGCCCTTTGCTGGTGACCTTTCTCTTTTGATGGACGTAAGGGGAATGACGAGGCATGGGGGCTGAGCTATAAAAATTGCTTTCAAATTCTAGTGGTAGGCGCATTCGGCGGTAAAGAGGATTAGCGCAAGTGATCGACAGCCGGAGTGGTGAAATCCCGACAAGTGACGGGCCGTTCCCATCTTTCCATCTCGGGCATTGCACCGGTGTACAATCGTGCAATTGCACCAGGTTAGCGGTGGCATTAATCTAACTAAATTCTTGATGGTTAGATATCTACAATGTTCTATTTGATTGGTTTGGTTTGCTTGCACAGCTTGCTATAAGAGTTGTATTTTTAGCTGACTGACTGAAACATTGATGCGGGGACTGGAAAGACCGGTACGGCTTTCCAGTATCAAGAATGTTCCTCGTTCCTAGTTGGGAGCAGTACGGTAGACTCGCTTCATGTATGCAGAGTTAAAATGAAATAGCGAATTAGAAAAATATTTTCCCCATTGAAACATGACCCTAATAATGATGAATTCCACTGGTAGGTCCAGAACGCTTTCCAAAACCCACACTAGAGGCAAGATTTTGCTCCGTGGGACCCGCTCCAAATCGACGAGCGGAAGATGGACGCGCATTTTTGGAGTGACCCGTTCTAGACAGTCGGCTGTTCAAAATGGCAGCTGCTTGAACTTGACAAGCCGACCAACGCTTCAGCCAACCGAGCTTTCCGATGACCAGTCACAACTGTCCCTGTTTTAGCTGCAGAAATAACACGCGACACAGGCCGTACGAAAATATCTGTACCACGGAGTCCATGTCACAAATAATGAGGAAGTCGTCTGCGTTTGCCACCGTCGCATACCTTTCGGCCGCCTCGAAGCGACAGGGCATGCCCAGTGATCGCCATCAGTGAAGTTTAGATTGCTGGTAAGGCTAATAAACACAAAGAGGTAACAAATCATCACTTGCACGGTCGTTACCTAGTCTGTTCTTGCTTTATACCATAAGAAAACGCCGGTTGCATGCAGTTTAAAAGGTAAACAATCAGTAACAGCAAAATGAACTGGCCTAACCTTGCGTCTGCCTCCTTCAAATTTTTTGTCACTCTATTTTTCGTTTTTCCTATGGCGATCAGATGTCAGCACTTATGATTTGCCTCACTCCCGTCCCGGCTTTGCACGCCTGATCTAAGCGAGGTAGGAGCTTTCAAGCCGTCGGAATTCCACCTAAACAACCGTCGTATCCAAACAGATCCAACTTGACGGCCAGGCTGGCCTGGCGACCTTGCTGCACATGCACACTGCCGACTTGCAGGAAATAATGTAGCGCGCTTCTGTCAACTTCCACCAAGCTCCCTGAAATCCCACGGTACAAGTTCGGCGCGGTCGGAGGGGCTCTCCATGGGGCGGGCACTGCCACAAATCTAAGAGTGGAAGATGACCAACTTGAGCCGGATCTGCGAGCGGAATTTATCATAAGTAATGAAGGGTTCTTTGCCCCTAAAACTGCACGATGTTGCGAGACAAGCTGAATTCTTTTTATGTGCGGAGGGACATCCAGGGTTTTGAAAAGCAACAAACTGAATTGAGTCGCAAGTTAGGCAAAAAACGCAAGTTCCAGTTCAAGTAATTGAACTCTCATTGCAACTAGAAGGGTATCTAATCACCGAAATCACAACTAATTGAAGCTAGTTAAAATACTCGGTATTTGGTTACTTTTCGGTTCTGCTTTTTGGGGGTGCTGGCTGTCTGCGGGGCATTTTAAAGTTTCGCACGTCGAGTCGACGGGAGTTAAGTTTCTATGAAGATAGCACGCAAAGTACCATCCTTTTCCTCGAACTGTCTTCCAGATGACACTTGAGGTAAGATAGGGTAGTGCAGTTGCTCGTTCGCCCTCTCCTCAATCTTCCTCGGTCGTTGTCTTTTTCGTCTGCCGCAACTGGTTCTGTGCATTCAATTTTCGGCCTTTTTTCGCGCCGTGGACGGCAGCGCGCTTTTTGCTGCTGCTCTTTTGCCACCCAGAGCTCAACCAGCTGCACGTGCGCTCAATCGGCCCCGCAACCGACGTCCATCTCGACTTGCTCCCCGTACAGGCACGACGGCGTGCACGGGCCTGCCGTGCAACGACGGGTCTTCGCTCGGGGAGGGCCCTCCCTACGGGCAGGACTTCCCGGACTACCTGTACCCTCCAACGTCCGGCATGGGCGGCACCGTGGGCACCGTGGGCGGCCTGAACATGGGCATGTGCGTGGGCAACCTGAGCGGACCCCCCGTGGGGGCGCACGGCCAGAATGACTACCTCTACACGGACTTCCTGGGGGACGAGGACCTACACCTTATGGACATGGTGGCCTCGCCAAGCGAGGGTGAGTGGACCAGACTCCTTCCTTTCGGGGTTCTCGTGTGGTCTGGCAGTACCGCGGGGCCCAAAAAACGTCCGCAGCCGGCATGTTTACCTTGTCCTCAAAAGCTGTCTCTCGATTTCCACTCCGACGACTTTGTGAAGGCGTCGCGCCGTTTGGTTGTCGCAATTCGGGCAGTGGCACGGCGACAGATGTGGATGCGCCGGACGCCCGTTCTGCCGCGTGTCTCTCTCTGCAGTCAAACGATTGACGGGAGCCGAAGCAGACTCGAGACAATATGTCGCGACGACGGCGACCCTCGCATGCGCCCGCTTTTTCTGCAGGTGTTTCTGTAACCAACGGACAGGATCACGTTATTGAACGACACGACGTTTCAAGATTACCATTTCCGTTTGAAAAAGGTGTGCAGTGAAACCTCATTATATAGAACACGGATATATAGAATTATTGCTTATATTGAATCATTGTCGAACTATCATAAGAATTACATGCATAACTCATTCGGTTAAAAAATGAATATATTGAACTCCTCAGCGCCGGAAAGCTGTGCTCCGGAGACGGGCGGCAGGCTTTCCCGTAGCACATCGGAGGATACGGCGGGCTTTCCCGCAACACATCGTAGGATAGTGGTGGCGCAGCAGGTGTTTGCGACTTGTTCAAGCGCATGCCCACATAAAGCTTTATGCCCATGGTGCCGGGAACGCCATCCAGAGTCGGCGGCATACGGGCTCAGTCAGCTCAATCGTATCGCCAGCATCGCTCTTTTCATGCACTGTGCGTGGCCCCCGCAGTTTCGTTTCTCCGGGTTCCTTCTTCTGACGTTGCGTCAACCGCATGTGGCGTACTGATGGCAACAAACGTAAAGAAACGTACGTCGCTGACGTTCGCGACGAAGCTTGAAACCATCCGCCGCGTTGAAAAAGGAGAAAAGAAGTCCAGCGTTGCCGAAGCGTACAACATACCGCGAAGCACTTTGAGCACGCTGCTGAAAAGACGAAAAGAGACACCAAATCGAAACTGGAACCGGCGCCGCCATGAAACCAGCGCACGCCGTGTTCTGACACCGGCCTTCCAAAAGGTGGAAAGATCACTTCACATAGGGGACGCAAGGGCTCGGAACATTACGGTGTCGAGGCCGATGCCTCAACGGAACGCAAAGGACTTTGCGTTTATCCACCAAGCACAAAACGTCGCCGCAAGTAGCGGGTGGCTACAATGTTTCACAGCCTGTTACGACATTGTTGGGAAGACTGTCTCGCTTTTACGCCGCTACTGCAGTGCAATCGACGATAGTGGTCTGGCGCTGGTGGACTGCTTGGAGACAGAGGAGTTGGCTGTAATAAGGCTAGCGGTCAACTCCATGAAGCAATCTACGCCGCGGCAGTTTTTTTCGCCGGAATAAATAATTCACCTTAAGGGGAGACATGGGTCTTTGGAGACAAAAACTTCCTAAAACTGCATTCTTTTGAAAATGGCGATGGCTGTCATTCTTCTGAATCTACCAGGCTTATAATTTCATGGATGAATATTTGAGCTATAAATTACTTTATAATGTCTATGCGGGCTGAATGTGCGTTGAAGTTGACTCTAAAACATTGTTTTCACAAAACACAAATTTTGGATTCGTTGAGAATTTGCAGGAGGGATATCTCAGCATCTAGAGCAGATAGAAATATAACCGTTCCTGAAATGTGTAGCTGAACGTGTGAAGCATACAATGTTGAGAGCAGAATTTTTGATATAAGTCTAGAAAAATTTATATTTGATCATTTGCTTTATTTCTTGTTAGCCATGCATTGAGCAGTGAACTTCAATGTGTGGTAAAATCACTAATAATGAGTTTATCTTAAAAGTGCTTCCAACATTGTATTCTCTACACTTCGTAGTATCTAGCCATGTGTTAAAAAGAATATTTTGTTGAGCAGTTTTTTTTCTATCGTTTTTCCAAACAAAGGCAGGCAAGTTTTATTTATTTTAAAGACAATTCTACTGACTGAGAAAATGACCAGATATATGAAATCAGCACAAAACACTGAACAAGCTTGTGCAGTTTCATTGGGTTTGGTCATAAAATAAGAAAAAAAGCTCCAAGACCAGTGTTCCCCCTTAACGCTTCACGTGAGTAGTCATTTTTGCCAGTAGCATTTTAGTGTTTAAATCGCGCTGTACTTAGGCGCTTTTTTTGGTGTGATTTTGTATATCGAATTTGGAATATATCAAACTATTTCACGGTCCTCGCACTGTTTGATATAATGAGGTTCGACTGTATTCGGATGGGACAATTTATTTCAACGTCACAACGTTCTGGGTTCACACGCAGCAACTCCTGAAGCTCTAATTGCAGTGTTCTATTGTCGTTGTTAAAGCTTTAAATGTATTGCACTATTTAGACACAAAGTTTCACATTAATGACATCTTGTTACGGACAGAATAAACTAAAAGGACGGACAGGAAGATGTCAGTCCTTTTCTGTCCTCCTTGTTTGTTTCTGTAACCAGTTACTGAAAGTGAAAACCAATGCGCTCACAATCAAGTTTGTATTAAAAGCATAATTCTATATCTTTGATGGCATTGACAGTATCATTACCGTAAAACCATTTAGTTACGAAAACAATCTATTTTAAACTAAAACCAAATTAAACTCCCTGTCCAGTTATCACCACCACCATCACCACCACACTGCAGCAGTCACGTGAAAATATTGCATCCCTGATTGGCTGCTGCCACTTCAGATGGTTTTAAGAGAGGACGTAGGGCATGAATAAGAGCGTCCTTATTTCTAGAGCTATCTTAATTAAATTTAAAGGGAGTGATTATAACATATACATAAGAGTAACTGCAAAATTTCATGGAGCTGTGCATATTATTTCTCAACTTGCAAATATCAAAATCGTCCATATCTGTTCCTTATCCCAGGCCTGGAGAGTTTGAAAAAAAGGTGGTATAGCAGTATAAAATTTATTATGGTGACCTTTAGATAGCTGCTCCAGGGCACAGCAAAGCCCCTTTTTTAAAATTTATTTGTTAAAAACTTTTAGCACTACTCCAAATCTTGTGCAGTCGGTGAAACTTACTTTCATCAAATTTAATGTTTTTATTATAAATTTATAACAGTTTTCTAAAAGTAGCGCTCTGTTATGCCCTCACAAAGTTTTATAGGAACGGAATAAAAAAAACTGCACGAAGATCCATTGAGCAGTTCCTAAGATATGACTGGTACAAGCAGCCACGGCTGTGAAACAATCCATTCTGAGAAAACGGCACTTGAAAGTTGCACACACATTTTCGGCTTTAGAACGACCCTGCAGAGTACTCCAAAGTGTTCTTGTTCCGCCTATACGACTTCTTTCGACGTCGTTTTTGCTTGCCTTGCGCAAACGCAGGGCATGTTTTTTGGCAGCTCGTTGGAGGGCTAGATGGGCCGGCTGGAGTCCCACTGCAACAGAGATTTCTGTTGTTGCCCGTAGCTGCTGGCATTGAACCTCAACACGGCTTCGTGCAGTGCAGGGATTGGGCAGCATGGCTTCAAACCTCCTTTGGGTTGCTGGCATAGCTCCAAGTTCGGCTTGAACGGTATCGCAATGTCTAGATTCTGCTTTGATCTCCTCGCGCGTCGGGAAATGCTTCCGCATATAAATGCGGGACGTTGCGTTTCCACTTTTCGCGGAAGACGAACGCTGGGACCCGTGATCTCTGGAGGAACCGCAGATGTCGACGTGCTAGGTACTGCATGCTTGAACGGGCACACTACCCGAAACTACTTGAAGAAAGTTCAGACAGTGATCGTAAAGATGTCGAAAAATGAAGCGGAGCTGGTAAAGGGAGATTGAGAGCAAGCAGACCACCGCCGAGAGCAGACGACGCGAGCGGCAACAGCAGGGGGAATGGAAAGGTGGAGAGCGCTCCTCAAGCGGAGAAATCGTGTCCCAGCTAATAGAAGTAGCGCGCGCTCTGTCCAATCACGTTATTGCGATTGCAACTTGGAAGAACGCAGACCACGCCGTAACCACGCGGCCGACGCCGTTTTGGGTGCCGGAAAATAGGAGAAAGGAGTCACCTTCAAAAACAAGACCAAGATGTCGGCCGTCGTCCAAATGCGTCAAGAATGGCAAGCACGCGAAGTAGAGGTTAATTTTGACATTTGACCATCACTTGGACGCTACCCAGGCTTTGTAAATATTTGTTTTTAAATATTTCCTCGTTGTATTAGGTGCTGATAATTGCACAGAAAGTAGTTTATGAGGTGTACGACCCAAAAATATAGTTTTCTAGAAATCAACTTTTTTTGTGATTTTTTTGGTTTTCACAGTTTACGTTTCTAAGGAGGACGATGAAGGTTCCGCACGTGCCAACGTGAACTGGGGGACCTGCATGGGGTCTGTGTGCCGGATGCAGGGACATAGCCAGGGGGAGGGCTGAAAGGGCTTCAGCCCCCCCCCCCCCCCCCCCCCCCCAAAATCTAGCCGACCCTATAATATACACATTCATTTTGTCCCCCCCGCAGCCCAAGTAATGGGCATCCCAGTCACCACAACCCCTCCCCCCTCCCTTCTAGCATACCATATATACTTGTGAGTCGGCCCCTGTCCTGTCGTGCATGTTCCGTTTCTTTGTCCTTGTCTTGTAGTGCTGTTTTCCACTAATCACATACACTTGGGAGTTGCCATATAGATTGGCAGCCACGTCGTCTCATCTAGTTGGCCAGAACCAGCTGAGCTCAGAGTAACCTTAGGTCACGACAGACTTGCTTCCTCGACGGTCTGCCTCGGTGCAATTCGGGTGTGTCTACTAGGTGAAGAACTTGCAAAAACTCGATGTACCTCACCCAGACAGCTGCCCCAGAGTACAATTTCGGTAGCTGTTACGCTTCGCAGCAGTGATCGAAGCGCGACCTTTGGTGCCTTTTGACTTGACTATCGCGTCCAGTTGCGAGCCCATCATTGGCTTGACTTGGAAACAGAAGCACCAGGTATATACCGGGATCTGGTGCACAGATGGCACCC